GAATAGTCCTTTTGATGTAAGGAAGACTACTTGTGCGTTTAGCTAATATGTTTTAAGTGCTTTCCTGGATTGAGGCCATGGCAAATTGTACAGCACTGTATAGCTTGGGCATACCTGTGTTCAATTTAGAATTTACATCAGTCCATACCAATTTGCTCAGTATGAGCAGGGAAAAGATGTGAGACGTCATTAGTTTTCCTGTTGTGGGCATGTATGTGTTAGAAAACTGGTCACAACTTTAACTTTTCTTTTAGTTAAGGCCATAAGTATAGCCTGAAAATTGAAACTTAAAGCTATACTTACAGCCTTAAACAATAAAAAATAAACATATATAACATACATATATATAAAATAAACAAATATTTGTTTAAAGGATAATAATAAACAAATACGTATTTGTTTAAAGAAATATAAATATGTATGTATACATACAGATATGTATTTATATTCATAATAAACAGTATGTATTTGAAAGAAATAAGTACGTATATATACACATACAGATATGTATATATATTAATAAATAAATATGTATTTGTTTAAAGGATATGTATTACAGAAATGTGCCATTTTTTATGCTTTTCCATTTTTAGACCTGCTGTATTGAAATCCTGGTGATACTACATGCATGACAGACTAGAGAGATTTGATATTTGTTAAAATTAATAATTCTTAACTTGTACTGTGGTTCTTACAGAATCAAAAATTGGCCTATATCTAATGTCTAATAAGCAGCAAGATCAGTTATTGAGTCTCCAACACATGCAGTCAGGACTGTCACCCACATAAGCATTACATTCTTGCCAGCTAACTGGTATTGGACTCTCGGTTTTGATCTGTAATATAAAAATCACCTACACTGATTCACTGAACTTACTTTCTCCTGGTTTGCCAAGTAGACTGAATTAATTTGCAGCTAACTGTGTTTGAGAGCATAGATAAATGAATACTGCTGCTTCAAGTGATGATTATTGAAGAAAAAAGTAAAGAAGTTCTTACAGTTGTTGCATTGAATGTGTTTTCTGTTTGTGTGTCCCAAAATTGAGATTATCATGATTGTGACAATAGTAAACACTGCAAGTGCCTTAGTATTTTCCATAGAAGGATGTAGAAAGAATCTTCAAAATTACATTGATTCAACGTTTGTAATAGTTTTACTTAGCAGCTAGGGAAGGATGCACCCAAAACTATTTCTTGTACTTCTCTAAATTTGTTAATTTAGAATTCTTTCTTTTGTTTACTTCGGTGTACAAGTGTATAATGTTTAGTGGTTTTAAAGTTAATTGTATGTGCATCACATTCAAGTATAAGCGTGAGTTCCTATGAAATGCAGCGTGTGTTATATGTAGAACAAATGCTATTACAGGTTAGTAATAAAGGGTTTATATTCAGAGACAATTATTCAAGTCTTAAAATGCTGGTGTTAATTGAGGTTGTATTGTGCATCCAATCAGACAGTGTAATGAGGAATATTAAGAAAGCAGTCTAACATTAGAAAAAAGTTCTGGAATAAAAGTTTCTGATTTCCCTATTCAGTACCCTAATCTTTGTGTTCTTTCGTAGACAAAGGAGAACTTGTTGGCTAATGGTAAACTTGATGATTATGATGATGATGAAGAGGATGAAGACCTAATGTGGAGGTTACCCAAGGAAGAAACAGACTTTGAAGATGATTTTCTGGAGTATGATCAGGAGCATATCAAATTCATTGATAATATGCTAATGGGATCAGGGGCTTTTGTGAAGAAAATTTCGCTCTCTCACTTTTCAACCACTGATTCAAACTATGAATGGAAAGCACCCAAAAAGTCGTCCCTGGGTAATGTTCAGTTTTCATCAGATTTTGATGATTTTGACTATAGCTCTTGGGATGCTATGTGCTATCTGGATCCTAGCAAGGCTGTTGAAGAGGATGATTTTGTAGTGGGCTTCTGGAATCCATCAGAAGAAAACTGTGGTGTTGATGCAGGAAAACAGTCTATCTCATATGACTTGCATACAGAGCAGTGTATTGCTGACAAAAGCATTGCGGACTGTGTGGAAGCCCTGTTGGGCTGCTATCTGACCAGCTGTGGTGAAAGAGCTGCTCAGCTTTTCCTGTGTTCTTTGGGGCTGAAGGTGCTCCCTGTAATTAAAAAGACTGATTGGGAAAGCACTTTGTGTGCTACCAGAGAGAATTGTAACAGTGAGCAGAAAAATCTTTCACCAAACTCTGTTTCTGCTTCTGTAGCTAATTCAGAGCCTTCTCTGTATAAAGACCTGGAGTATGGCTGTTTGAAGATTCCACCGAGGTGTATGTTTGATCACCCAGATGCTGAAAAAACCCTAAATCACCTTATTTCTGGTTTTGAAAACTTTGAGAAGAAAATAAACTACAGTTTTAAGAACAAGGCTTACCTTCTTCAGGCATTTACTCATGCCTCGTACCATTATAATACCATTACTGGTAAGTTGTCTTAAAGAAACTGTGGGGGATTTTTTTCCCCATATGAAATATGCAAGAGAAGCAGTGTATGTTGTGTTCTCATACATAGTCTTTTTTTTGACCTCACGCATTACTTTAAGAAGCCAATAGTCTCTGAATACAAAATCTTGGGGAAAAAAAAAATCTTGCCTCTTACTTAGTGGGGAATACTTGTTGAAGCTGTATCTCAATGGTTATTTGTATTTTGACTTGATACAGATGGAAGATTTACTGAAGCCTAACCAAGTTTTGGGAAAGAGCAGCATTTTTCATCTCTGATGCTGTATCACTAGTTGTGTATGACTGACATTAGATTCTCATTTGGCTGAAATAAGTTCTTGTAGAACTCTGGAAAATTGCAGTGTACTTCTAGAAGTAGCGATCAAGTTTTGCAAATATATTTAGCAAATTTGTCCCATAATTTAATATAAATAATATTACCCTTTGACTGTACTTCTGAAGGTTAAAAGTAGACTATACAGCTTGCATTAGCTGAATAGCCTATGGGCTAGCAAAATATGGAGACTTCCGATTGAAGTTGTGAATTGGAAGGATTAATTTAAGTCTAGGCATTTTATTGAGTAAATATTTAAAGTCAAAGTTTGAAGCAACAGACTAAATATTAATTTCAGGTTAACTGCCTAATGTTTCTGTACGCTATCTCAAAAGATTTTCTGGCAGTACAGATTTTTATTTCTGTAATCTTCTTGAATTACTTTTGCTTATACTAATTAATTTAGTATTCATTCATTCTGAAACTTTAAATATTTTCCTCTGATAATATGCAATTAAAAACAAACCATGGTAAAATTCCAGCCCTATTTGAAGTGAATGGCAAATTCCTGTGCGGTCAGCAGTCTGAATTTTTCCCCCATAGTGAATTGGTTCCTTATTCCAAGGAGTAAGAAAGCTCTGCTTTAATTAGAGAAATAAGTCATTTTGAAATGTTAGTACATTGAGAAACAGTTCTGAAAAAACACTGAAACACTCCTTTGGTTTTTCATTCTAGGTAATATTACCCTTATATATATTTACTTTTTACAAATATTTCACAAAACGTACAGAAGGTAGATGATTCCTTTTAATATATATGTCTAACAAATAGAAACCTTGAGGCATAGTGTCTAGATGAAATTATGTTGTTGGCAGCAGAAACTTTTGATTCCATTTCTGTTTATCAAGTAAGGCAACTGTGAATTCCTGTTACCTGTCTTAAGGAGTAGGTAGTAGTTGAAATCTGGCGGCATCTTATGTTCAGCTGCTATAAAAGCAACTTAGTACTAGCCATTTCATTCTCATGTTACTTTTGTAGTAATTTTGTCTTCCTTCCTTGTCTGCCCACCTATCCCTGTTTGCTTTCAAAGAGGGTTTTTTGCTTTTGTTTATATTCTAAAACTAGACCTCCATAACTCTCCATTCCCATGTCCCCCATCAGTTTTCCAAACAGCAAAGTCTTGGCAATTTCAGTTTCCAGTTTAAAAGATGCATTTTTAATGGGAATCTTTGTTCAGTGCTTTTTGAGAAATCTAAGTTTGCGGCAAACTAGATAAAAAAAAATCTCAGATTGTATGTTCTCCCTGCTTTTAACACATTGATTTCTTTATTATTGTGGGAGGTTTAATTGTTATCATTTTCAGATCAGCCTGCTGGTAGAATCTCTTGATTTTACTTTTTTAATGTTTCTCAGCACAATGTGAAGATCTTGAGTAAAGCATTAATTAATTATAAAGACAAGTGTTTTGCTAGCCTGAGCAGCTAACATTTGGTTCAAAAGTGGCTTTTGATTGGTTATTAGATATAACTTCTGGATTTTTCTGATTATTTTTTTTTAATATAATTCAGTAACAATCTCTTCAAACACATAGATACCTGTTTTAAAAAACAGATTGTCTTCTCTGAGCATTGGTTAGTTTGTGGAATTTGCATGGCAGTGTACCAAACCTCTTATCCAGAAAGGCCTGGAAAGAATGTGTGTGTTAAACTTAATTGTGGTGTTGTACATTCTTTTATTTCCAACGCTTTTAAGATTGTTACCAGCGCTTAGAATTCCTGGGAGATGCAATTTTGGACTACCTCATAACCAAGCACCTTTATGAAGACCCACGGCAACACTCTCCAGGAGTTCTTACTGACCTACGATCTGCTCTAGTCAATAATACCATTTTTGCATCACTAGCTGTAAAGTATGACTACCATAAGTACTTCAAAGCTGTCTCTCCTGAACTGTTTCATGTTATTGATGACTTTGTGCAGTTTCAGATGGAAAAGAATGAAATGCAAGGAATGGATTCTGAGGTTAGTAGAAGTAGAAATGTGTTCAGTATCTGATTTGAAGCATGTAACTGGATTTCTTAGTGTGATGCACATTTTTATGTTTTAGTTTCATGCATGCAGCAGCCAAAGAAGCAGGCTTCCAGTAATAAAGCGTGCAATATTCAAAGTAAAATACAATACTTCAGAAAGTATAAAGTCAATAAGAACACTCAGAAAATAATGAAATTGAAACCAGTCTGCTTCCAGATTTTTCTGTGGTTTTTCAGTCACTATTTTGCTTTTGTGTTGTTGTTAGAACAAGGAGGGGGGGGGAGGGCGACACACCCACACACTTAACATTACTTTCTTCATTGACTAATTGGAAGCACTGCTATACCATAAAATTGTGATGAAGAGTTACTAAGTCACATAATGCTGACTCAGGATAGGATATCCATGCAACATCATGAACAATACTACCTTGGCACAATACTGGGACTACTTAATGTAGCACGCTGACAGAGATTTCCACTGTTTTTCTTATGATTTCTGGTGGAGCAGGTGTTACTGCACTGTACTCAAGTGTGTTTGACATGCTCCTAGAGGCTTTATATCTGCTAGCCAGGGAAACTTTATATGCATCTTTCAAAAAAGCCACCTGAAAAATAGTTTAACTGAAGACCTGCAAACACCGATCATGTCTGTGCTATGCAGGAAAGCTAACAATAATGAATATACATTTGCTGGAGAATGGACTAAACCTAATTCATTTTGATAAGTATGAGAGCAAGGGCCTTGTGAGTCAAATTCTAATGAGTGTCCTGCAAGAGATGGACTTTCTCTTTATCCCTCCTTCAAAAGTGTTATCTAATGGATATCCCTAATACTTTGTCTTCTGAAAACCTGTGACCTGTCTCTTATAAAATACTCTGTCTGAGAATACTCTAGTGCTAAATAAACATGTTATCTTTGTCTTTGGTAATTTCCTCCTTCTGATAAACAATTTAAAAGCTTGGGAATCAAAATACTTCAGTTACGTGTAGGTGTTTGCAGCCCTTGCACACTGTTGCAGAGTGAAATCCATACATTTTATGGGAAGATTCAGGAAACATTGACTAAGAAATTTGTCACTGAAATTTAGATAATATAAATTATTTTCCATCAGAGAACTGGTATCTGCCTTGTTTTCTTCACAATATGAGTGAAAATACCGAAAACTTATTTTAAGAGCTCGTAGTAGTGATTTTTAGCTTTGTTCAGTTTTTGCTAGTATGCAAAAAGATTGCCTGGAAACTTCCACCGAAGTTGTAACCAAACTGTGTGATAGCTGTTTCAAATAAAATTCTTGTTTCGCTCTCCCTACGCCTGCTCCCTATCTTGGTCTGGCACTGAATTACTGAAACTCTTATTTCATCAGAGTTAATGCAAGAGTCTTTGTTTCTGCAGTTCATGCCAGCTAGACTGGTTTCCATGTGTGTCTCCACATCATCTGCTTTTCTTTCTTCAGATCTCACTCCTGAAACATCTGTTGTCCCTTGCTTTATAGCTCTTAGTTTCTCTCTCCTGTTATTTCGGTATAACTCAAAAGTGCTTCAGTTTGCGTTTGGTATGAAATACGCTATTCAAAATAGTTGAATTTGGTTTTTAATATGAGAATTCCTGTTTGGAGTGTGTACAAACCAGGTCTGACTTCTTGTTTGATTTATTTTAGGTAGAAATATTGGGTAGGACTAGTTTATGAAGTAGTATGGGGACTCTTGAGAGGACTGAATCTGGTTTTAAACCCCAAATAGGGGCCAAATGGAATGAAAGGGTAGCTGCTGGGAGGAAAGGACTAACAAACTTACTTCTCTTTAGGCAGAGGAGAGTAATGGTCAAAAACTTTGTTTTCAGGTTGCTTTGTTTGGACTTAGGTGGATGTATACTGTATGTATTTGAGGTATTTTTAGTAAAGGATAAGGTTAACTCAAGACCTTTAAGACATACACTGAAAGCTTAATAGTAATGATAATAGACTATTGACTTAAATTAGTAGCATAGAAGGAAACACTGCCTGCTACATTTAAAAACCACCTAAGCGTGCCTGTTAGCTCAGTCTGATGCTGCTGGTTATCAGTTCTTAATGGCTAATTTACTAATGCTTGTCTTCTGGGGTAAATGAGGTAAGGAAATGTACATCCAACTTGCACCCAGAGATTGGACTTAACAGATTTTAAAATCACTTTCTAGGACATGTTTAATGTATGAACTCTTCCTTTGTTTTGAGTAGCTTTCGAGTAGTAATTAATAGAGCCAAGTCTGTTTCTTATTGGAAAAAACAGACCCATGGTGAAATCCTACAGAATTATTACAGGAGGAATTCACAAAGCATATAAGGTCTCTGTACACAACGGTGTTTGGCATTTTTTTTTCACATTTGAAAAATTATATATCCAGCAACTTGGTTTCATTGGGGAATAAAAGAACAATTTCATTGTGGAAAGTTGTTGATGGAAAAACTTTTAGGATGTAAGAGAGCTTACATTTCTGAAGATCTTTGTTTTATTTTAAAAGAAGCAATTGTTTCTCTCTTCTCCTCCCCTTCTCTCTCCCTCCCTCCACCTTGTTTTTTTTTTAATTGCAAACAGCTCAGAAGATCTGAAGAAGATGAAGAAAAAGAGGAAGACATTGAAGTACCAAAGGCCATGGGGGATATATTTGAGTCCCTTGCTGGTGCCATTTATATGGATAGTGGAATGTCTTTGGAAATGGTTTGGCAAGTGTACTATCCAATGATGAGGCCATTAATAGGTATTGCCAGCTTTCAGAAAAAAAAAAAAAAAAAAAATTAAGTGCCATCTTCTATGAAAAGAACAAAACTAATTTTTTTTTTAATTTTTTTTTTTCCCAATAGAAAAATTTTCTGCTAATGTGCCCCGTTCCCCAGTGCGAGAGCTGCTGGAGATGGAGCCAGAGACAGCCAAATTTAGGTAAGAATACACAGTGCCACAAAATGTTTTTAAGCTGTGCTTCATAAACTACTGATGATTTTTAAATGTCACGAATTACTTTTAATTTCTTTTGCACTAAGCAGCTAGCATGATTACTGTGTTCGCTGATTTTTATTTTTTTTCCTTGATAACTTTCTGAGAAAAGAAATTATTTCTTTTTAACTGTACTGCTTTAACTTTTGTAGAAAAGAGAATGTAGTCTCTTATTTCACATTATCTTGGTAGGTAGTAAGTAATTCTTGTGTATATTTTTGCAGTCCTGCAGAAAGAACTTACGATGGAAAGGTCAGAGTAACAGTGGAAGTTGTAGGAAAGGGAAAATTTAAAGGTGTTGGCAGAAGCTACAGGATTGCCAAATCTGCAGCTGCGAGAAGAGCACTACGAAGCCTCAAAGCAAATCAACCTCAGGTCCCAAACAGCTGAGACTCCTCTGAAAAATAAATAAAATGGTGGAAAAAAACCCCCACATACAAATAAAGCAAATTTTTGAAACTGTTGATGTTGAGAGGAACAAATTGGAAGACAGAATTTAAAGTTTGTTTGATAACAGAATAGATAACAAAACATTTAACATGTATAAAATTTTGGAACTAATTGTAGTTATAGTTTTTTGCGCAAACACAATCTTGTCTTCTTTCCTCACTTCTGCTTTGTTTAATCACGAGAGTGCTTTAATGATGACATTTAGCAAGTGTTCAGAATAATTGTTGTCAGGTCTTTTTGGTTTACTTTTATTGTCAGTACAGCTTTGCTTAGTGTTAGAAGGCCAGGGAGCTTATGCCTAATACAGTTGCTAGATTTATATATAGTAACCTTGAAATTCTTCTATCTGTGCACTAGTGCCAGTCATAAAGCAGTTGATAAACTGTACTGGATGATTTGGTATAAGAAAGAATAAGTGTGCCAGTATTCTCCTTTTTCTTTATTTTTTTTTTCTTTTTTTTCCCTCTCCGTGCCATCTTCTTACATTAAGGTGGCATTCCCAATCATTATTGCACTTATTTGTTAGGGACAGATTTTAATTGAAATGGCTGGCATACTGGTAGAATGAAACTTCAGTTTCCTTATGCCACACAGTCTTGCATAAAAAAAGGTTCTTGCCTTAAAAATAAATAAACCCTCATTAATAATCTTTAATTTCTGATCTTTTTTGGAACAAACTGTTTTACATTCCCTTCATTTTGTTATGCATTTTACAGTGATACAGCTCTATATTTACAGTACAACTCATTACTATAGCTGTGATGTATTACAGGATTATAATAGAAACTGTATTCATATGTATGTAATTAGGTTATTTTTAACAATTCTGAGGAGATGGTTAGTCTACAGGTTTTTTTTATACCATAAACAAAATATGGTCTTTGGCTAAAATTCCGATTTTACACAAACCTGCAAGCTAGATAGTTCCAATACTGGAAACAGTAATGAATAATTGCACAGTGCAAACTGTCACTCTAACAAAATAACCTTAGACATATCACACCTAAAATATGCTGCAGATTTTATAGTCAATTGGTTACATATTTAACAAACAGAGCACCTTTACACTTAGAGATATTTCCACGTAAATTTCTTACTGTACTTTTCAGAGTTGCATGCATGTTTCACCTACCAAAGCTGTGCTGTTAAATAACATGAAAGTTGATGTTTGAGATATAACTGCCGTACTTTTGATACATCTGTGATTTAGGTCCTTAATTTAGAGAAACTAGCTCATTGGTGTTTTGGTCTACTGGGGGTGGGGGGGAAATCATACTTTTATTTTTTAGGCTTTGCCTATACTTCTTTAATTAGATTTTTTTGTAGGCACTCTTCACTTAAATACCTCAGTTCTTTTCTTTTCTTTTCCTTCTTTTTTTGCATGCATTGTTTTTTTTTTCTGTTTTGGTGCTATGTTTATATATTATGCTTGAAATTTTAATTTTTTGCACTGTAACTATAATACCTCTTAATTTACCTTTTAAAAAAAGCTGTGGGTCTCGTATTCCCACCAATATCAGTAGAGGTTTGCTGCAATTTTGCCCTGTTAATTATGCTTGAAGTTTGAGAAAGCAGAGCAAGGTGTTTTAACGTTTTCCAGCAGAATAGTTTGAACTTGATGCTGTGTTTTATGTATTAAATTACAAATAAATACTGTATTTCCTGCTTTTAAACCCTATTTCTTTCTTCACAAATGCACACTAAAACAAAACAAAAACTGTCAGCTCTTGCTTTCTTAACAAAAAAAATAAATGCCTTGTTGACAAGGGTTAGACATTAAGCTTTTCTGAAATACAGTTTTCAAAAGTTCGTATATTTTCTATCTCAGTCATTTTTCATTCTGCAAAAAGGACATTCTTGTATTTGAAAGCAGCGTTGTTGTAGTAGTAGAATTAAAATACTAGCTTCTAAAAATTTCTAGCATTTGTTTGGTACTTCGGTCATGAAAATACAACAGGGAAGTACAAGACCTGCAAGTCTTGATGTGTATAAAACAAATGCAAATGAGATGGAACAGTAAAAGCATGCAGTCTAAATTTTCAAAGGGAAATTGCTTTGAGTTAGCTGTTTAAAAAGAAGAAAAGTCACCAATTTAAGTTACAGCTTTTACTTCGTGGACAGGAGTGAGGTTTCTTACAGAAAATACATGATTGTTAATATTAACAGTTCTGTGTTTCTGGCCAGATGTCAATCAGCAGATAAAATCAGACCATCTAGAAAGTCTTAAGTAGTTTTAACTGCATTATGAAAGACTAAAATATAACTTAGTCTTCGAACACCTGAAGTTTCTTACGGATTGTTACAAGGTGATAGATTCTCAGGGGTTTCAGGTAATTAGCAGTAAAGTGCTACGGAGTGTTTTGGTGCAAAGAAAATTAACTGAACTTGCTCTGTGTTTCAGAATAGTTTAATGATCACTTTCTTACTAGATAAAGCATATGAATTGGAAATCTGAAATGTGTAGTGGCTGACTATAAAGTAGTTTCTGCTGCTGATGCAGTGTTTTAAATGCTTTTTAAATGCTTTTTAAATGCTTTTTAAATGCATTTTAAATGCGTTTTAAACACTTCAAATGCATTTTAAATGCCGTAATTTTTTCCAGTGTGACCTCATTGAAATGTTTTTTTATCCTTTGAGATAGAAAATTCATATTAGTTTCCATGTTATACATCTGTGTGTTTTACCCTACAGTTGATATGGTTTTGATATTGGACAGTGTATGCTATTAAAGACCTAAATCTGATCATTTGAAGGTTGGGATAGAAATCACTTGACATGCTATAAGCACAAGTGTAAGTGGACTGTTGCAACCCATCTTCAAAAGCAACCACACAGGCTCATCATAAATAGTGTGGGGGTTAGTTGGCATGAACCTTGTTTTTTTTATCTAAGTCCTGTTATACTGTACTTTAAACAGTCCTCCTAACTATGCTGCGTTTTTATTTTTATGGCTTTTTTTTGCGCTGTTCTGTTCATGTAGCACAAATAAGCATTGCACTTGGTACCATGCTTTACCTCATTTCAAGGAAAAAATGCTTAACAGAGAGGAAAAATGTGGTTTGGCCTTGCTGCTGTTCTGATTTACTGAATTTGAAAAAGATAATTATAATGCCTGCAATGTGTCATTTACTTGCACAACTTAAATAGGTCATTTGTAATGTCTGTGGCATTTTTACTGTATGGAAAAATACAACAAAGATGTGTAACAACTCTTGATTGTATTTTAAAGCTATTGTTTTTCTCCTACATCATTTTACTGTTATGTGAAGTAATTAAAATTAGAATGACCTCCGACACTCCAGTAATTATCTCTGAACAAACCAGCGTGTTACGCATATAATGTAGTTTTTGCGAGAAGACAGCCCTAGTAATTTGGTCAACCTCAACTAAATCTGTGCTCAGTCTGAATATTGAGTGCCCAGTAACGACTTCTGAAGTGTTTGTTCAGCTTGATGCTGCTAAAGTCCGTACAGAAAAAAAGCCTACTATTTTTAAGTCTCATTACACAATAGTACGTTGTGACTGCAGAGTACAGAACTTGGACAAGAACCAATTTCCGTGCTGGGGAGGAGTGTAGTGGTGGCTCAGGGATGAGGTGCCAGATCCTCAGCAGGTGCAAATTGATGTGGTATCATTTTATCAATGGAACTGCATTCTTTTACATACCTGAAGATCTTGTGCTTATATGTATGTTGCGGAGTTTGGGGGTTTCCTCCTTGTAAGCAAATACAGAACTATAAACTGGAAGATGTGGGATTTATGTTACTGCATATGACATAGCTGTGCTACATGCATTTATCTGTACAGAAAGTGAAATTTTTATATCCCGGTCACAGCAGCACACGTAATCCAAAAATGAGAAATAGCATCGTGGTCTGCCGTGGTACCACACTTGCCTCTGACAGTATTCTGGGTTAGTATGTGTTGGGTGGGGTTCCCTACAAAAACATTCTCATGGAAATCTTTGTATTTATTACATGAGTGACGGGAGAAGGATTTTGATTTTTGGTACTTAATTGCTGACATTGATCCTTTTCCAATTGCTCTGATTGTCAAGAAGTTAAAGTTAATTTCTTTACTTTCATATTAGGTTTAAAACACTACAGTTCATGACCATGAAATGTAATCCTAAGTATCAACTGTAACTCAATCTGAATTTTGTTAGCAAGTATCTAGAGGTCATTGTAGTATACTCCACTAGCAGTTAAAATTAACTTCTGCAAAGCTAACTACATTTCTTAAAAATAAATTCTATCCAATAAAGTCCTTGGATTTTTTTCCCCTCTTTTATTTGAATGGCAACCACAGACTACTTTAATTGCTTTGTAGATGCACTCAGAATTTACTGCAGCAGCAAGTTGGAGAGAAAAATGTTTGTGAACAAGAATTGGAAATTGCAGGCATTTGTATTGTAAATAGTTGACTGAAAAGATGGTTAAAATCAAGTAGAATGAATAACAAATATAATTTGATGGACAATAAAATATTTACCATCACATGCTGCAGCTGTCTTTAAGGGACATAAAATGTAATTCATTCATACTGTAATCATGCTGCAGAAGTTTGCAATCTGCACCTTATGGATCACAATTACCTTTAATAGTTTTTTGTAATAATTGTAGCTGAGTATATCTCCAATAAAGTTATGGTCTGTTCACCTTGTATTGTCTTTATGCTTTTGTTTTTGGTTCCTCTTAATCTTTCCATAAATCTTCTAGAGTGAACAAAATACTACTTTTCAGTCTCAGTCTAAATAAAAAAAAAATATTTTGTGAAAACATTATTTCTTGACCTTGTTTAAAGACAAGTCTGCTTGTCTGCTTCCTCTGATGAATGAACTGTCTTCATAGCTATGTGAAGACTCTTAAGGGACACTCAGGTTAAAAATGATGGTGTACATGCTACAATTGATCTGTGTTGACCATTATACCTGCAAAATTTCTGTTGGAGCTGGGAGGCCCCAGAGCACAAGGGCTCAGTCACCCAGGTTTGCATGATTTGGCACGTTTTAAGAATAATGTGTTTATATTGCCTAATAGTCTCAACGTTAGTAACACTGGTTTTAATTATTTTTTCCATTTATTTTCTGTTACCGTTTCACTTATCCTGAATGTTGAAAGCATGTTTATGGAGTGTTCTGACTGGCACAGCAGTGTCACATCTGTATTTTACGGAGACGAGACAGGCCTGCCAGTCAAAGATCAGGAGTCTGTCTTTTTGAAAACTTCCCAGTGCAGCAGTCAGTTTCTTGGCATCTGCAACAGGTGGCTTCTACTACACATTTTGTCTTAGGTTATAGGGAAAAGCGCTGAACTGCTAGTAGGCATGGTGGTACCTTTTTCTGGGACTTGGAGGAGGGCCGAATCACCTTGCAACGGTGTCACTTTGCTCCTTGTCTCAGCTGTAGTGAAGTAAGCAGTTCTCAGCTGAGAATCCTGAGGAATCTTATGTGGCTTTCCGGCTCTTTTTTTCCACCTCTAGGTTCGACCCTGACAGTGATGGCACTGGTACGTGAGGCTCTTTAAGCTCCAATGTGTAGGCTAGTAAGCTGTGGTAGCAGATGACAGGACAGTGCCCCCCAGAAGTCTAGCAAGTGGGTCAAATCA